ATATTCTGATCTCCCAACTCTTTGAAACAGATGGGCAGTCCTCCTTGAATATCCAGACTCCCCTACTGGTGGGAGAAGGTTCATCCTGGTGCCACCCAGACATCACGCGCTTGACAAATGCTCCATTCCGGAGGGCAGGCCTGGCCTAAGGACAGAGAGAAGGGAGGGGAAGTGGCTGCCCCTGGGCCTTCTGCCTGATCGCCTGAGGCCTATGTTTCCAGCCCTGGACCCAAGGGTGATGAGGACCCTCTTCTGAGGAAGCTCAGACTGGACACTGAGAGGCAGAGCCTGGGAGATGGTAGAGGTAGTCCCTCAAGTCTCTACTCTCTGCTTGGTCCCCAGTGTTGCCCCAAGAGCAGTGGCACACAGAGCCCTATTGCACAGTGTTTCTTTAATTGAAAGACAACCAACCTCAAAAGCAGCCCTCCTTGAGCTGGGTGACTGCTCATAGCCCACCACGGCAGGGACCAGGAGGTGAGGGAAGGAGACCCAACTATCTTGCGGGGAGGTGGGAGCCAATGAAAACTGGTGCTCAGGACTCTGGTGGCTCTTGAGAGTGGAGCATGGCCACCTTCCTGGTTTTGACCTTCCAGCCTCCTCCAATCTGGGGGCAAGACCTCAGTAGGACAGTGAAAGAGGCAGCCGTCCCAGGCAGAGGCTGGGCAGGGCCTGAAATGGAAAGAAGAGACAGCCCAGGGAAGAGTCAGGGTGTGTGTGTGTGTGTGTGTGTGTGTGTGTGTGTGTGTGAGAGAGAGAGAGAGAGAGAGAGAGAGGACTAGTCCAGGGACCAATAGAGCAAGGAATTGGGATGGATAGGCCATGAACTTGCTGAAGTGGGGGCACCAGAGGCCAAGTGCAATAGATGAGCCCAAGAGAGGTGGAAGGCTGGAAGTAGATGGGGAGGAGGAGGAGGATGTAAGCCTGGACAGGGTGGTGGCCGTGGCAGAGTCCATTGTCTCCATCCCTGCTAACCTCTCCTACCCCACAGATCCATGGATTGTTTTCCTAGGGCTGGAGCCTCCAATCATTGGGTTTTAAGGTGAACAAGAAAGCTTTATAGGGGTGCCTCTGAGTGGCCATGGTGGGTGAGCAGGGCAGCTCAGGAGCTGAATGACAGGTGATGGGGGCCAGGCCTTGTGTCCACCTGCATGCTTGAGAGCCAGGAAGAGGCTGTGATGGGGTAGTGAGTCAGGGTTGGAGACCAAATGTGAGGCTTCGCTTCTTTGCTTTGCCTTCCCTTTTGGGACATCTGGCTGCTTTCCCCAAAGACCCCAACCAAGGCCACCATGGTGGCTGCCACTGCCTCTACTTTTTGTAGTTGCCAAACTGGATGGCCAGGCGGTCGGTGACGCAGCGGAAGGTAGCTGGCTGCACCTCCCAATACGGCACAGGATTGTTGAAGAGGCTGATGCCATTGTAGTAGGCCCGCTTGACCCCGAAGCCCACCGGGCAGAAGTCGTTGACGCCCACCTTTGTAATGTTGTTGGAATGCAGATAGACCACCTGGGGGCACAGACAGGAGGTAGAGGTGTGCTGTCAGGGCCCAGTAGTCCCAGGCCACCCTCCACAGTCTGCTCGACCTGGGTAGGTGCTGTGGGTCAAAGGCCAAATGGAGGGCAGACACAGAAGGGCTGGGCCCTGCCTCCATGCTGAGTCCCACCAGCTGCTTCCCAGGTATCATCTCATTGTAGTATGTCTGCAACACCCTTTCAGGGCCAGTTTGGGATTCTCCTTGTGGATGGGAGAAGGAAACTGAGGCTTGGATATGTTGGGTGGGTGTTGGTCAGGATTAGGCACTGATGTGTGACCATCATGAAGGGCTCATGTGTGGTGAGTGGGAGATGGGGGATAGGTGGGGGTGGGGCTGGGGGCTGGGCCAGAGGGGTCATGGGGGGCTGTGTTGGGTGCAGTGGGGCAGTAGGAATCAAAAATTGATCCTGATATGATGTGCACGCAAGAAAGGTGGTGCTAGAGCTGGGGTTGGGGCTCAGTGGTAGATTGCTTGCCTGGCATGTGTGAGGCATTGGGTTTGATCCTCAGCACCACATAAAAATAAATAAATAAAATAAAGGTATTGTGTCCATCTATAAATATATATATGTATATATACACATATATGTGTGAAAATGTATACGTGTGTGTGTGTGTGTGTGTGTGTGTGTGTGTGTGTGTGTGTGTATGAGAAAGGTGGAATGGTTCTCTTTTTGGATTCCCCGGGCTCCAGACCTTGTCCCCAGAAAAACACCCACTCACTCCAGATTCCCACAGGGTGTGAGAGGAGAAAGAGCCTCAGAGTGCCCCTTCCCTTCCTCCGGGCCTTAGCAGCATTTGCCCTCTGGCAGAAGCCTCCCCTAGCCCATCCCTGAAGCTGCTTTCTTAGGGAGGAGCAGCGCTGAACAAGGAAGGCCAGAAGGTTGACTGAGGAGCCCAGTGGTGGCAGAGAGGTCTCCGGCCACTAGAGGGCACAGTCAGCCCAGCATGGGCTGCATTGCATGGGATGGTAATGCTCCTACCATTTTGAATGGGGCTGAGGAAGAGCTTTAAACCCAGAGCAGGGCTGGGTAAGACCAGGTTATCCCATATGACTGGAAGCCAAGATAGGGACAGAGGTCCTACAGATGGAGGGTGGCATAGTCTCAGTACAAACAGGGGGTTTGGTGCCAAGGGAGGGAGAATGGGGACTTCTCCCTCCCAAATGAGGAGATGGGACCCAAAGAGCAGAAATGACTGGCCGGTGCATGTCCAGGTCCTGTCCTGCTCTGTACCCTGGATCCCCCCAAAAGGAGGCAGGGAGCCTAAAGACAGCCCTGGAGACATGGGACACTACTCCAACCCAAGTCTTAGAGAAGCTGATGCCCAGGGGCTTCCTAAACCCAACTCTCACCTGGAGGAGCTTGAGGTCTGGGAGGCCCGCAGGCACCCTGGACAGCTTATTGTTGTCCAAGTGCAGCTCCCGCAGGGTGGGCAGAAAACTCAGGCTCCCATTCTCGATCATCCGGATCTGATTGTGGCCCAGGCCCAGCCTGCAGATGGGCAAATGAGAGGTATTCAGAAGCTGGAGTGGATAAGGACTATGGAACAGGGTGCTGGGGGTTCTCTGATGCTGCCCCATGCCCAGTCCCACCTGTACAGCTTGGAGTAGCGGAGCAGGTCCTCCAGCTCAATAGCCTGGATTTTGTTGTGGTCCAGATGCAGTTCATTCAGGGTCTCAGGGAGATCTGCCCAGAAAAGAGGGTGCTTGAAGATGTACACCAGTGCTGGGTGTATGCATGTGCATAGGTGTGGGGGGGTGCAAAGGCCTTATTTCTGCCTCAGGTGAGGGGAGGGTACTGCGAAGTCCTACCTCAAGCAGACTGTACAGGTTCAGTCCCATCCCCCCACCCCATTTGTGTTCTTGAAGGTGAAGCAGGATGCAAAGGAAAGGTCACCTTCCTACCTTTGGGGATGCCAGTCAGCTTGGCCTCTGAGATGCGCAGGTAGTTGAGCTTCAGCCCATCAAAAGCTCCAGGTTCAAAGCCACTGTTCTCCAGGGGGTTCCCACCCATTTCTAGGAGAGAGGCCCTCTCAGCCTTGGAGCCAGCTAGTGATGCTTGGCACCACTGGGGCTTCTGAGGTCAGTCTTGCATGATGGACCTGCGAGTTGCCAGTTTCCCTACCCCCTCCTGAAAGAGTTCCATGAATTTATCTGGCTAATTGCAAACTCCTAGCTGTTCAATACCATTAGCCCCAAGAGCCCTGGCCCTGGCCTTGCCTTCTGGAAGCACGGAAACAAGCAGAAAGGGAGGAGACCCAGAGATGAAGACAGGACTCCTGAGATGCTCCCCAGCCCCTCCATGCCCAAACCCTTCTCAATTCTCCTCTGTCAGCCCCATCGCCCTCCATGTTCTCTTTAGCCACAGTGATTGCCCAAATTGGTGATTCACCAAGAAATACATTGGACTTTCAACTGTTTCAAGATTCTTGAGCTGAGCCTTTAAAGCCACCCCCAGTCTTCCTTCACCATGCTCTGAGACACATATCTGGAGCTTCTGTGAGGTCTGCTGGCCCCCTACTTGGCTGCACTGGACAGTCCAGGACCCAGCTACTCTGGCTGGAAGAGGGCTCCTTCCTCTGACTCCTTTCTGTCTGCTATCAGTGCTAACAGGTTTGGGTCTGTCACAGGCCAGGGCTGAACTCACCAATGCAGTTCATGTTCCGGAGCCCACTGAAAACACCCTTGGGCACTTTGCGGATGCGATTGTCATGGATGCGGAGCTCCACCAGGGAGCTGGGCAGGTTGGGAGGGATCTCCACCAGGTGGTTCTTGGATATGTAGAGCTTCTGCAGCTTCCGCAGGGGGCTGAAGGCCTTTTCGTGGATCTTGGAGATCTTGTTGTTCACCAGGACAAGGGCCTGAGGCAGGGCAGGTGATGGAAGTGAATGCCCCAGCTTCCTACCCTAACTACCCTCCTCTTTTCCTCCCAAGTTTGCTGCTATGACACTTCAGAGGTGTCTGAACCGCCTTGGTCTCAAGGAGCTCTGTCTGTACTCATGGGCAGAGTGCAGGGTGAGAGCCAACACGCAGGCCCAGTTCCAATCCCAGGTACAACTAATGCCCAGCACAGTCATTATTTCTCTGCACATCAATTTCCCCATTATCACACTGGCTACCATTAAATCTGTTCTTTATTTGTTGCTTGGAGGAACAAATAAAATGAAAATTGTTAGACAAAAAGGGAACTGAGTTGAGTGATCCTGTCCTGTACACACACACACACACATGACCCACAACCCATGACCCATGACCTTGGGAGCTCCCATCATGGCTGGCTTGACTTCTCTCAGGATTCCATGCATCCCCAGGACCCTGTCACATCCCCACAAATATGCATCCATCTGACACATACCCTCTAGCTACACAGCTCATGACCCCTCCTATTCCACAGAAAGATGGGGCTTACATAGAGGTGCTGGAGGCCTTTGAAGTCATCCTTGCGGAGTTCAGTGATGTCATTGTTCTGCAGGTCCAGCAGTGTGGTGTCAGGTGAGATCTCCTTGGGCACTGTCTTCAGACCTGGAGCCAGCACCATCAACAATGTAAGCATAGAGCCACCCAACTTTCTAGCATGGCTGGTGTGGAAGGGTGGGGACATCAAGGGGACACACACACACACACAGGGATACTGGCACAAACACAGGCTCTGGGTGCAGGCTGCAGAGCTTGCAGAATCTCTGCTTGCTCCTTATGCACTCATGTCATGATCCCCCAGGCTCTCCCATCCCCACCGGTCCCACAGGATGCATGTGCATCTCCTTCAGTAGGGGCTCTCAGGCTGGGCCTGGGCCTTCTGCACTCCCCACCCCAACTGCCCAGGGACTGACCCAGGTCAGAGCATTGAACAACCCGCAGGTGGCAGTGGCAGCCAAAAGGACAGATGGCACTGAAGGTGGGTGGAAGGGAGTCCAGGTCCGGGGCGCCTGAGGTGGTGTCAGCGCCTGAAGCCTCCTCATCATTCATCATGAGCATCCCGTCGTCCAGGGTGAAGTCCCAGAAGCCTTTCTGCTCAAAGGGTAGGGCCTGGCTCAGGGCCAGCAGAGCCATGAGGAGCCACAGGGGCCGCATGGTGGGTGTGCCTGTGATCCAAGGGCAAGGAAGGCCATGTATCAGCACCAGGACCACTCTCTGAGTCCTTTCCTGCCTGTCTTCCCAGCACCAGTGGCTGGCGTCGTGTGTGTATGTGTTGGCACAGTGTCCCCCATCCCTCACCAGACAACCAGACCTGAGGAGGGGATAGCAGACTGAGGGGGTGTGGACAGCAGGCACATGGCAGGATGGGAGTAGACACTGGCCAGAAGGGCACCTCTTTGCCCTCCCTTCCTTCCAGGCAGGACTTGGTTTCACTGGAAGATGAAATGCCTTCCCATCAGTGGATCTATGGCTCCCACCCATCCACTAAGTCAGCCAGAACTTGCCTTGGGTGGTGAGGGGCGGTGAATAAGGTCAAGTGGAGGAAGCAGAGGGAAATCTAGCCATTGGCCTTGCAGGCTGCCAGGGCCAATTCCTTTAGGGAGTTTGGGGCTCAGCAGTTTGGACGCAGTTAGTTAAATTAGTTGACCGTGAGTCATTTCCTTCTGTGCCTGAGCCCCCCTTCACCATGCCCACATTTCTCTGACAAGATCCAGAGGTCAAGAGATGGGAAACAAGCTAGAGAAAGAAACGGTGTCTTCTGAATCTTGGGCAGCGCTAAGTGGAGGTGGCAGGAGTGAGGCAGAAAGCACACTGCCTTCCCTTCCCTTTGCTCCCCAGGACTTTGTCCCACAGAGCTTGTGGCTCCCAGATCTGTCCCTGCCCTTCCTTTGTGTCCATGGCCCTGGCATCCTGGAGAGGCCCCTGACAGGAGTAGGCTGCTGCCAAGGTAGCAGGCAGGGTCAGGCTTGTCTGGAGACCCCCCAGGCTTAGGCAATGGGGTGGAGGTGGAGGAGAAGCTACCCTGCCTGAGCCTGTCTCTGGACCCATATTTACCTGCCTCTTCCTCTTTCATCAGACACTGCCCCCCATGTACCTGTTGGAACACACCCCAGAAGAAAAGACCAGAGCCCCGACCTCTCCTACAACCCCACTTGCCATGACTCCTTGGCAAAGGCCCAGGTTTAGTCTCAGCCTCATTCTCCCTATCTGTTAAATGGGAATAAATATGTCAGCCCTGATTGTCTTCCAGGCTTGGGTTTCTAGGATTGGCTGGGTGCATCTGTGGACAGAGAGCACAACTGAGCACCAGGACCCGCCTGCCAACTTGAATCAGTTGCAGTCCAAGGAGGCCCTCACTTGGGGCCCAATCCAGCAGGGAGAAGCACTGTTTGGGGCTTACCCAGGGCTAGGTAAGCCTGAGTCTAGATGCTAGTTGCAAAGGTATGAGGCTCTTGGGGAGCAGCTTTCCCAGATAGGCCCCATGGCTGGGGGCTGCTCCTTTGGAGTCAATGCCACCAGTAGGCCAGGGGCATGGGGCCCTCCTGGCCTGGTTGGCTGGGTGCCAGCACTGCACCTCCTGCTGCACCTATACCAGGAGAAAGGTGGGATGGAGGTCTGTCCTGTTGGCCCTACAATGTTCCTCGAACATTCCACAGGCACAGGCATGTATCTCCCTGAGGGCTCGCATGACTTGGCCCTGGCCTGGATCCATACCTGTGGACAGAAGGGACTTCAGGGAGATCAGAGCTGCAGCTGCTGCTGGGAGGGAGTGGTGCAGCCCTCCTGAGGCCGGCAGGTCACACAATGGGGGAAGAGCCCAAGGTCTAGCCCAGGTTTTCTCTCACATGGAGAGTTGGACTTGGTGCTTATCCCTGGGGTCAAAGGAAGTGCCCTGCTAAAGGAGTGACCAGCCTCCCTTGCTCCTTCAAGGCACATTTTCACCCCAGGGCCTGCCTGCCCCAGGCTGCCCAGAGGCCCCCAGAGATGGCCCCCTCTCCCAAAGGTCTTAGCCCCAGAGTAGATAGAAAGATCCGAGCTCGCCTACCTAAGTAGTGCTCCCCTTCTTTCCCTCAGTTTGCAGCCTGCAAGGCAGGGCAGGGCAGGGCTGGGCAAGGCCTCCTGTGCCTGCTGCCACGGGCAGAGTCCTTGCCCAGGTGCTGCTGGACTCCAAGGGCTGGGAGGAGAAGCAGGAGCAGTGGGAGAGAACAGGAAGGGGAGGCTGAAGGCAGGGGAACAAGATGGAATGGGAAAGAAGGAGGAGCTGCCCCAGCCCAGCCCCTCCTCACTGTCCCTGCCAAACTGCTACCTCACAGGGGGATGAGTCAAGGCTGGAATGCCCAGCAGAGCCCTGGGAAGCTCTGGGACCCAGTCCACCTGGGCAGGTGGGAGTAGGATGGTCTAGCCCCGCCAAAGCAGAGGTGGGGGAGTAGCAGATGACCAACCTGTGGCCAGCCTGGACCCCCACCCCCTGACCCCAGGGAAAGGGTCTCTTTTGAGACTCCTTCCAGATACTCAGGGTCTAAGTGTGCCTCACAGGCAGTTTGGGAAAGGTGGAGAGTCCCCACCAAGGTAGAGGATAGATAGGCACTGGGAAAGTCTGGCCATTGGGGGCACAGGTAGGCTCATGGGACCAGTTTTGTGGGGTTAGAGGCCCTAGATGAAATTCACCAATTCAGAGCAGCAGTGCTTGATGTCATAGTAAGTCTGGGGGTCCCCAAGAGGCTGAGAAAGGGGTACAGGGAAGAGCCCAGCCCTCTGCCCCTCAGTTCCAGCTCAGGGCTACCCCAAGGGGTGAGCAAAGGGCTTGGAGGCCTGCACATCAAGGCCCTATAAGAGAAGCAATTCAACATTTGGCTGGTTTTCCTTGGCTCCTGGCTAAAGAGGTGGGGGCCGGGCAGCCTTCCCAGCACAGCCCTCATTTCCCCTCAGAGAACTGGCACCAGACTCAGGGCCCAGGACTCTACAGGGAAGGAGGCAAGCCAGACTTGAGTCTCCAGGAGATGTCAAAGGACCCTCACACAGTCAGAGGACCCCAGAGTGTGCAGGCACAATTAGTATCCCCGTTTTATGGATGAGAAAACTGAGGCCTAGAGAGAGGAACTGATTTCTCCCAAGTCACTCAGCTCACTCAGCCTGAGGCTTGGAGCCTGGCTGTGGTGATTCCAGGTGCTGAACCTTCGGCCCAGAAGCAGCCCTGCCCCTGCCCCTCAGCTATAGGTGGGGGTCTGGGCCTGGCTGACTCTGGGCCATGCAGAGAGCCTAGGGAGAAATCCTGGGTCTGGCCATGGTGGTGATGGGTGCTGTAGATGTGTTTGGCTGCCTCCCTTCTCCCCACATATTCACATCGAGGATACAGGCAGGCTATAGCCCAGGAAGCTGGAGCCTCCCATGGCAGAACTGTGAGACCCCCAGCAAGTTCCTCCCATCCCCACCTCCCCACCACCACTGGTGGTTTCCTTTCAACAGCCTCCCTGGGTGTGTCCTTAAGCCCCATCAAAGTATGCTCTGAGTTTGCTGGACACCACCTCCTCAGAGCAAAGGAAAGAAGTGGTCATGGTGGTGAGCCCTGACTGGACGACCGCAGGTGTGAGAGAGGGAAGGGGCTGGGCTTCCTGGAGCCTGCAACGCCACCACAATAGGGCCCTCCTTGTCTGCCCCTCTGAAAGCCAGTGCAGTCCTCCATGCAGGATTGCTCCAGGTCACAGCCAAACAAGATGCGCTGGCAGCCTCTGAGAACATGGAGGGGCTGTGCCAGGCATTCAGACCAGGCCAAGGGCGGCGGGAGCAGGGCTTGAGGTCTGGCGGGTGCTGGGAGCTCGCCTGCAGATGTGTGGCTGGCAGCTGCCAAGGAGCAGACGTCGGATGGAGTCTCTGTGGCCTCAGCCTGGGGCATCTGGCTCCACTGAGCAACCCGACCTGAACTCTGCCTTTCACACAGCCCTGCTGGACCCCTAGAACTACATGGTTGGAAAGAGGTGAGAGGGAGACAGGTGACATTGGGCACCTCTCCTCCTTCCCCTCTGGTCACTGAAGTCATCTGGGTCCAGCTTCGACCAGCCAGCTGACACCTGGCCTACTCCCTGGTCCCAGCACACCTAACCCCTGCACCAGCCAAGTCAAGCCTATGCTAAGTGTCAACCAGACAGAAGGGATGTATGCTGCCCATGGGTCTGTCAAAAGGCCATGTGGTGTGCATATGTGGATGCTGGGGCCAGAGGAGGGACTCTGAACTCCATGTCATCTGCACCTGGCTCCACCCTGAACCCACAGCCATTGCCCCAGCATGCCCTTTATACTGCAAGGGGAGCAGATGCCCAAGCATAGCTGTGGGGCAGCTCTTCATTGATGTGGCCCTGGCACTGTTGCAGTGACTGGACAGAGCTGGGTCCTGTACTTGGGCAGATTTGATGGACAGACTCTACCTCGATGTAGGTGACAGAGGCTAACTTTCTATCTCCTTCTGTACCCTGCCAAGAAACCTCTGGAAAGGACTCAGTAGCAGATGACCCTGGTCAGCTGGAGGGTCCTTAGTTTTATGGTCCCTCTGTACTGGGACCACATGCCATCCCATCTCTCACTCACTGAAGAAATTTGGACTCCTATTTATCATGTGTTAGAATCTTGAGCAGTGGGGTAGAGATGCAAGTGACTTCTTTACCTAGCCACTGCTCTCCCCTATTGATCATAAGTCTTGCCTAGCCCAGTGCTGTGGTGCATGCCTATAATCCCATTGACTCTGGAGGCTGAGGCAGGAGGATGGCAAGTTTGAGGTCAGCCTGGGCAACTTAGAAAGACCCTGTCTCAAAATTAAAAACAGAAGGGCTGGAAATGTAGCTCAGTAGTAAAGTGCCCCTGAGTTTAGCATCCTGTACCAAAAAAGCAAAAAAAAAAAAAAAAAAAAAAAAAAAAAAAACCTCTTGGCCAAGGCCACACAATGAGGAAATAGATCCAAGACTCCTCTGTCTATCTGTGTGTGTCTTCCTGCCCATGTTGCGGGGATGCACTTCTGCAAAAGGACAGCAGCCAGGCACCTAGGTCTGGAGTCAGGGAACCCCTTCTCTTTCTGGGCCTGGGATTTTCTGCAGCTCCTCCCTTGCATTTGGGTCCCCTTCTATCTGCTAAGGACTCTGGATGATGTAAGACCCAATGCTCTTCAGCTAGCCAGCGAGGCCAGGATCCTGCCCATCTTCAGGCCCCCAGGGCTGCTGGAGTCCTGCATACAAATGCCTCCTTGCGGCTCAGCATCCCCTCAAGCCCATGGGAACACAGTCATGGCTGATTCCCAGGGATTCAGACTTTGAGAGGATAAAAGTGGCCCCAGGGACAGGGCTGCCAGCCCCAGCCTGAATTTTCCCTCCACCCCTCTTTTGTGTGGAACTGTTCACAAAATCCCAAACCTGTGGTTACCCAGGCCTCAGCCTTGGCCAGCTGACCCTCTGGAGACCAGGCCTGCAGCTTGCGGAGGGCGGGGCGGGGGAAGCAGAGGCAAGTTCAAGAGTCACCCCACTCAGAATCTGGGAACTTGGGGCATCACTGGACGTCTTCAAGCCCCTGCTCATTGTCCTCCTGCTCAGCCTAGGCTGGGTGTCTGCTGAGTTGGGAGTCAGGATGTAGTGCACCTGAAGAGGTCAATGTAAGGAAGCTGGGTAGAGACCCAAGACTTTAAATCTGAGAGATAAGCCACCACATAGAGGGAGGGGCGGTGTCTTCCCTGGGCTGGGAATGTCTGCGATGTGGTGTGGACCTGGCCAGAAGCAGAGAGCCTCCTGCCCCTCAGGCTGCAATTGCAGCTGAGCAGGGGGAGTCAGAGGGTTGTGTTCTGTAGTATCTGGAAACACCGAAGCTGATGGGCTCAGGGGAGAAGGCTCCCTGCTCCATGGCCACCCCAGGGTCTGCCCCAACCCAGAGCAATAAGAAGGTGGGTGTCACCTGGCATCCCAGAGGTATCCAAGGAGGCCCTAGAAGCCCCTTGGCTATACACTCCAAGTGGGGGAAGGGACTTGTTGGCCTGAAAGGAAAGGGGAGGACAAAGCACAACTCCCATCCCAGAAGAGGTGGCCCAGCAAGGCCCATGCCTTCCCCAGAGAAGGCTGGGAAGCTCATTCTTTCTGGAAGGCTGGAGGAGGGCCTGAACATGGAGCAGGTCTGAGCCACTCCTGCCCCCCTCTACTCATCACCCCCACTGTCCCTGTAAGATTTGCAGAAAGGGTACTGTGGGTGGCCAAGGGTGGTGTGGCCC